GGCGTGCAGGAGGCAGTTGATCAATGATTTCCTCTTATTATTGATGTTTCTATCTCTCTCTTCCTCTCTAAAATCAATACAAATATATTTTAAACAAAGAAAAGGTTAAGTGTTTGGACAATCCATGTGTGGTAAATGTGATATACAGATGGAATACCTCTATGTCTATGAACCCATGCTTTGGTAGACTATACACTGGCATTCCTAAACCACCTTCCCTAGGCTGAATTTAGTCTTCTATATGTCAGCAGGCTAGTAACAACTTCCATCCATCTTCTAGGTGAGGTTCTGTAGTTTCCAGCAAATGATTTTCCTCCTTCCCACCCCTATTTCCCTCACTATGTTAACTTTCCTTTAGGACTGATGGTCCCGTGGGAAGCCTCACAGTCCCTGCCCACTCTCCTTCGCACCCAGAATCCCTGAGAGCTAAGATGGGACTCAGGGAGGCAGGTCTGGAAGGAATGATGAGTCAGCTTTTTCCTTTGTGAGCTGGTGATCAAAGCATTATCTACCTCATTTCCAGCCACACCTGACCTAACAAAGGATTTTTAATGATCATAAAATAATTTTTTTTTTCTGAGTTGGAATTACATGTGTATGCTTGAAGAAAACTAATCTCTCTGGTCACCTCCCCCTTCATCTTTCTGCCATTTCTTCCCTTACCCAGAAATGTCTTTAATTTTTTTTTTTTTTCCTAGTAAGAGCTGACATTGAACAATACAAGGCAAGGAAAAGGTTCATTAGGTGATTAAATTAATTTAACAACGTTCAAGAAGAAGGGTGTGGTCAGATGACCCAAGGGTGCTGAGTAGAGGAAGCTAAGGACAGAGACAGAACAGTTGCTTTTGGCAATGGGGAAGCCATTGGAAAACTTGTTCGAGCAGGTTCAGTGCTGTTAAGATGGGAACCAACTGCATCCTGGGAAGGTGAATGGGTGGATGAGTGAGAAAGTGAGGCAGCCTGTGTAGACAACTCCGATGATGACTTCCTGTCATTTAGGTCTCAGTGTAAATGTCACCTTTTTGGTGTGACCTAAAGTAGCCACCCGGTGACTATCACATGACTGTATCTGATTTCTCTGCAAAGCACTTATTTATGACCTGATCATGCCATCTTTCTTCATGGTTCTCTGCCACACACACACACACACACACACACACACACACAACAATGATCATATTTGTTGTTGTTTTTCCCCCCATCTATCCCCAGAACCTAAAAGACTGCTTGGTACCTGGTAGGTGTTCTATAAACATTTGCTGAATGAATAAAAGTGCGGCTGTAGGGGAGAGTGGAGCAATAGAGCAGAGACAACGTGCATTCTCAAACTAGATTGTGCCCGGAAATCACGTGGGTATCTTGTTTAATGTAGATTTGGAGCCTGCAGGTCTGGGGTGGGGGTGAGGGTGGGAGATTCTGCATTTCTAACATGCTCCCAAGCAAGGCCGCTGCTATTGGTCTATGAGTTACACTTTGAGTAGCCTCAACACCTATTTGATATGTTGCTTAGAATGACCAGGAGAAGAGATGAAGGAAGCAAAGTGAGGGGCTAATGACAGCAGCGAAGATTTAGGAAGGCAGAGGGGGTGGAAGCCAGACACCCTGCAGAGGCTTTGGTTTTTCAAAGGTGTTAGGAGACTTTCCTCAGTGGAACAGGAAGGAAGGAGGAGAAGGGGTGAGAAGAGGAGAAAGGTCTTGACTGGGGTGTCTCATTTAATGAGGTCACAGCTCAGAGTGAGGGTGGAGGTGAGTCATGGGAGTTCTAAAAGAAACAGTCACTGTCTTCCCAGGCAGCATCCGGAATGCCTTTGAGCTTGAATAATACATTTAAGGTAAAACCCATCAGCTGTGTTGTGTCACTGCCTCAACATTAATCTGCTTGGGAGCAGGTTGGAGCGGGAGGATGGCAGATTCACTCAGAGTGTGTGAGACAGGGTGAGAGAGTTGAGGGTATTGGTAAGGGGGGAGTGACTTTTAAAATTAATTATTAATTTTAAAAATTTTCAATTCTAGTTGACATTCAATATTATTATATATTCTTTTCAGGCGTTCAGCATAGTGGCTACATAATTATGTAATTCACAAGGTGAACGGGGAGAGTGATTTTAATGGTGGACCAGAGGAAGTGAGGCACAGGCACTGGGAGAGACACGGCTACTCAGTCCCTGCTCTCTGGGGGCTCTAGTGGAAGACAACACACACACACACACACACACACGTATGTATTATATGTAAATGTACATGTATATGTAACTAATAGATCCGCCTCCTGCTGTGTAAATCTGGCAGATTTACAACTGCCAGCATCTGCATCTCTACCCGAGAGTATGGAAGGCCAGGAGCAGTGCCAGGGGGCTCACATCCAGAGAGCATCTCTCAACCAGTAAATACCCCAGCTCTCATGACCCTAGGGTGGGATAGCAGGCATGTGTTCTGCATTGGTTTCCCTCGGGATGAGGCTCAGTTGCCCATGGTGGTGGTGACAGAATAGGAAAGCTTCTCTTTATGGGCCGCCTTCCTTTCCCTGTCTCTATTCCCTTCCTGGGTATTTTTAGCATCACCTACCAAATAGATGATGGAGAAAGAGACAGGCTACCATTTGGGAGGAGGAGCTATCTGCCCCATGGTTGAGTGGGCATCGGGGCATCAGGGATGTTGAGGAAGAGATCTGAGAGTGGAATCAAGAGGACAGGCAGGTGGAAGGAACGTGGGGCCTCGGAGGGTCTGAAAGGACACTGGCTGCAGCAGGAGACCGGGTCATGGAGTGAAGCCTGAGACCAGACCCCGCAGGGCCTTGTAGGATGTGATAAGGGGCTGAGGGTATCTAGTCAGCGAACACTGAGAAGCCAGGAGGGGGCTCAAGAAGGACAGCGACAGCATCAGTGGAGAAGGGCAGGAGAGTGGGCGTGGGAGAAAGGGAGCTCAGGGGCCTCTGCTACAGCTCAGGGCTTTGCATGGAGCTTTGCACTTGGAGGAGTCTCGGCGAATGCTTGATGAAATACAAGGCTGATCCGTCTCATGAGGCTCTAGTGGAAGACTATATATATATAATAAAGAGCTAATATGCTAATTAGATCAAACAGCATAACAACTGTCTGGACCACCTTCCAGACAACCATCCGACAATCTGACCTTTTGGAGGAAGCCAGGCTGCAAGGCTGAGCCCCTTGCACGAATTTTGTGCATCAGGCCTCTAATATATATATATTACATTTACATAAAAGTATATATATATATATATATACATATATATACATATATACATATACACACACACACACACACACACACACTACTTATATGTAAAGGTACTACTTATATGTAAAGGTACTACTAGCAATGCATGACTACTAACTACATACTTGATTGACCAGACACTTCATTTTCTGGCCAAAATGAATAATGGTTTTCCTTAAGAAATGATGCCCTTTTGTTCTGGGCTGCTTCCTTTAACTTTATCAGGCCTTTCTCTGGGGAGCACCAAAAGGCTAACTTCCTTCTACTTTTTCTCACTCTCCACTCCCCTTCTGTCTTTCCTCCCCTCCCCACTTCCTTTCCCTCTGTACCTCTCTGTCTCTCTCTTCCTCCAAATAGTCTCATTTAATAAAGTTCATTATTTCGTTCAGTCTCCATTTCTATTAACTGTGACATTAATTCTTAATCTTTGGCTTTAAGACTGCAGATGTAATCAGAGGAAACAATTACACTTTATGAACAAGGTGATTTTTAAAGTGGATCTTTAGTGAAATAATGCTATCGAAATGCAGCAAATAAAAATGTTGCCAAGCACATTCACTCTTTTGTTAATGTCACCATCCTGCACTCATTTATACTTTTCATGGGAAAAATTCAGTTTCAAAGGTGATTTATACAAAAAATTGTGTGTGTATGTGTGCATGTTATTCATAATCTGAAATCATGAGACATTGAGCATATTTTCAAGAGATGAAAACTGGAGACTCACATTCACACAGCTGATCACCAATGTGATCTCATGTGTGGTCAGTGTAAATACAGTACTACAGAACACACCAAGAAATATAATATGATATTTATCAGTCAGCATGTTTAGATTTATGGAGCTGCAGAAAGCAATATAAGAAAGAGGTCTAGGGAGTCTAAAACCCAGGCCATAAATTACTCTCCAAGAATATGTTGTAGCCCTACTTGGTTTAGCTCAGTGGTTAGATCCTTGGCCTGCGGGGTAAAAGGCCCGGTTCGAGGGCACATGCCCAGATTGGGTTGCTGGCTCCATCTCTAGTTGGGGGTGTGCAGGAAGCAGCCAATCAATGATTCTCTCTCATCATTGATGTTTCTCTCTCTCTCTCCTCCTTTCCTCTCTGAAATCAACAAAAATGTATTAAAAAGAAAAAGAATATGTTGTAAATAGTCACAATTGTACCCTCTTCCCTTTTGTATTCCTTTGTATAAAAATCTTGAAATCCTTGCTCATCCCCTCCTTTAACCAGCAACTCAAGAAACAAGAAACTAGATACCTAGGATTTCACACAACCTTGTAAACCCAGTATTTTCATTTTCTTAAAAATGAGTCTTCAGTAGTGGGAGAGGGTTATGCTTTGCAGGCCCCATGGGGTGTAGATCTGTCCATTGGGTTTTCCATTTCCACTCTGGTGTCCCCTTTTGGCACTTTCACCAAACACCCCGAGCCCCTCACCCTGTGTTCTGGCAGGATTTGAGACATGCAAATTGCAAACTGGTAAATAGCAACTTTGCATATCTTGAATAGAAGAGAACAACGTGGTACCACTCATTCCATTCCCAGGGAAATCTGAGATAATGGGAGTGAGAGCAAGGGCAGGCTGAGGGTCCTGTGTGTTTTCTTTAAAGTGTTTATTATGCTTATTAAACCTATTGTACAGCGGTGAATTAATTTGAATTATTTACATGGTCAACCTTTGAGACAATAACCTGATTAAATCAGAGGATGCAAATGTATCACTCCTCTTTGAACTCTAAACACAGGTTTAAACTGGAAGAAGCACTGGGACTTGTATTGTTTCCTACAAATGTTGGTTACAAACCTGCATATGTCGGGTTAAATGGCATGATGTCAGAAATCAGGAGAATGTGGTGATGTGCTTTTTTATAAAAGTTGATAAACTCCCCCATGAGAACATATCCTCTGGTCAGCCAACCTGGTGACAAATATCTCAGGTAAAACGTCTTCCAATTCCATTTTTTGGAAAATATCCTGGATTGTCTGACATGAGGGTGTTTTTCTGCTAAAATTTCAGTGTAGAGGGAAATAACTAGTAAGAATGGTTGGGTTTTCATTCCATCATGGGCCTGGTGTCATTTTAGTGAATGTGTGGGCTGGTAAGAATTCTTTAGTTTTACTGAAGCAGGAGAATGGAAGGTTGATACCAAGTTCAAAGTATTATAATCAGATTATTCAAAATCTCTAGGTTTGCCGAAACTGGTTTGGCTCAGTGGATAGAGCCTCAGCCTGCGGACTGAAAGGTCCCAGGTTCGATTCCGGTCAAAGGCATGTACCTTGGTTGCGGGCACATCCCTAGTAGATAATTAATCCATGTTTCTAACTCTCTATCTCTCTCCCTTCCTCTCTGTAAAAATTCAATAAAATATATATATTTTTAAAAAATAAAAACCTCTAGTTTTCCTTATGACTTGGAAAAAATTGGAAATTTTTGTTCAAGCCAATCTTACTTTGGGTTATTATTTTTTTTCTTGGTGTTTAGATGTTTACGAGGAATTTCTGAGAAAGGTAAAACCTTGTGTGTTTAGACAGAGAGGCACAAATAGATTCTGAAAGTGGAATCTTTTTGAGGTTAAGGGAACAGCTTGCATCTTGAATATTTTATGAGATCTGGGTATTAGGACAGCGGATTTTCAACCAGTGTGCCCCAGGACTTTTTAAAACATGTAATACCTATTTAGTCAGGGGCACTGACCTCTTTTCCCTTACACTGTCAAATTAAAAATTGACAACACCCAGCACAATAATTGCCATTAGGTATGATTAATTCAAAGTTATACCTATTTAAAAAAATATATATTTTATTGATTTTTTTACAGAGAGGAAGGGAGAGAGATAGAGAGTTAGAAGAAACACTGGTGAGAGAGAAACATCAATCAGCTGCCTCCTGTACACCCCTATCAGGGATGAGCCTGAAACCAAGGTACATTCCCTTGACCAGAATCGAACCTGGGACCCTTGAGTCCGCAGGCTGACGCTCTATCTACTGAGCCAAACTAGTTAGGGCATATACCTATATATATATATCCTATATATATATTTTTTTAATTAATCCCTTCCCCTTCTTCCATTCAGTCCCCCAGTGTTCCTCCCCTTTGACAGCTCTGTCTGTTCCATGTATCCATGCCTCTGTTGCTATTCTGTTCAGCTGATTTTGGTCACAGACAACAGTGTGGTGATAGCCAGGTGGGAGGTGGAGGTGGGCAAAGGGGGTGACAGTGGGCATGGAAAGAGACTTTGTTAGGGCAATGGGTGCACAATGCAGTGTGCAGAAGTTTTGTTGAGCTGTACAATTGAAGCTTGTGTGCTTTTGCAAACCAATGTCTCCCTATGCGTTCAATAAAAATTATAACTAATTTTTTGTCAGGCTAGCAAAAAATATAACGCATTGTCGGTGTGCCGCAGAATTTTAGCAACTAGTTTGTGTGCCAGGAAATGAAAAAGGTTGATGATGGCTGTCTTGGAACAATGTTTCTGATGCAGGAACATAGCCATCAAGGAGCAGAAGGGAGATGGAGCCAAAGACAAACTGTGAAATTTTTTCCCTTCAAAATATTAAGTGATCCTAATGCTGAAAACAGGAAATGATGGTGATACTGCAGATTGCTCCTAGTAAGGGCTTTAAAAGCTTAATGATTTATTGATTGAATCTGCGCTAATGATATGCCCCTGAATATGCATATATAAGTAAGAGGGCTTCTTTAAGAAGGTTCAATCATGTCTTTCAGATATATTTGGTTCAAGTCTATCTATTCAAAATAAATGGGATGATTGAGGCAATTATCAGGGCTGGAACCCCCACCTGGTTTGGAGGGAGGTGAGTGTGTCAGGTGAAGAGGTAAAACAAAAAAGGGAGAGAAAACCCTACAGGGAGTTAGGGGACAACAAAAGAGAGAGAAACCTGAAAACCACCACTGTTGAGAAATATCTCTCCCCTCCCCCTTCCAGCTTCTCTTTATCCTGAAAGGAGAAAAATAGATTCCCAGGTGCCACCAGGGAGCAATGTTTCCTTGAAAAAAAGAAAAAAGAAAGAGAAGAAAAAAAAAGTTGTCCTGTGAAATCAGCTACACATGGAGTCTGTCGGTGTGAGGAAATCAGCCTTTTCATTACAAATGGGTTTAAAAAGCCCCAGAGAAGAGAGACGTGAACAGAAGCAATATTATCCACCAACAACCCAACTCCCTTTTAGACATCAGCCGAGAGAAGATCAGCAGCAGCATTCATTGAACAGGGGGTTTGTCTGAAGATAAAGACTCATCTTTTTTTTTTCTTTTTTCTTTCTTTCAGGATATAAAACTTGTATTTAAATCAATTCAGAGAAGCACTTTAGCTTTAAACCGTAGAGAGCAGGGAGAGCCTATTTAATAAAACAGCATTACTTCATTTTCAAAGAATGATACTGGCAGCAGCTCTGAGCTTAAATTCTGTATTCTTTTCCTCAATTATAATTATAGATGGGTCTGCAAGGAAGCATGCCTATTACTGTCATATTTATTCCTTTGACAGGTGTTAGGGGACTGTAATTTGATGGAATGACTCAAAACGCAATTTCCTATCCAAATATAATTCCTGTCATCAGCCCGCGTGGTTTGGGAAAGTTCTCTAAGGAAGCCTTTTCACAGACCTTGAACGCCCCTGGTGTGTTTTAGCATCAACCCATGTTCAGGAACATGGGGGAAAGTCTGCCTTCAGGGCTTCTAGCCGAGGTGGCAGCAGCCAGAAGGAGGTGTGGATGTTTGACGTAAAAAGGACGCTAGTGGCTGAAACCGGTTTGGCTCAGTGGATAGAGCGTCGGCCTGCAGACGGAAAGGTCCCAGGTTCGATTCCGGTCAAGGGCATGTACCTTGGTTGCGGGCACATCCTCAGTAGGAGGTGTGCAGGAGGCAGCTGACCGATGCTTCCCTCTCATCGATGCTTCTAGCTATCTGTCCCCCTCCCTTCCTCTCTGTGGAAAAATCAATAAAATTTATTAAAAAGAAAAAAAAAAGATGCTAATGGAACGGCTTTCTTTTTCAACTGAGTGGGGCGGATTGGGGAAGGGGCACCCAGGAGACAGGGCAGGTTGGGTTTCCCTTACAAACAGACCCCAAGTTCCGCGCGCGGCCGACAGAGGGCGCTCGGCACGCGGTGGCCAGGCGGGGGCGGGGCCGCTCAGATCCGGAGGCGCAGGCGCAGTCGTGGCCCGCGTCCGCCCGGGCCGGGGTAGACGTTTCCCAGTGGAGGCGGGTGAGCGCGCGGCGAGGGCGGAGGGAGGGGGCCGGGCGGGCGCGTCGGGCCGGAGCCGCTGGGGTGGAGGGCGGGCTGGGGATGTGAGGCCTCGGGTGCCCTCGGCTTTGTGTGGCCTGGGAAGACCTTGCAGTGACTCGCGCCTCCCCGATCCCCTCCCTGCCCATCGTGGTGCCTCCAGAGGGCCGGGCGCCCGCAGCAGGCCTCGCGGGCGGGACTCGGAGCCGCGGGGAAGGCCCAGGACTCGGAGAGGGGCGAGGGGTCCCCCTGCAGGGAGCCCCGGGGCCTCCAGAGGCCTCCCTGAAGCCTGGCCGCGGGCCCACTGGGGAAATGTTCATTGTCTGGCGCGCCTCCGTTTGCCCGTGGATGTGGCCCCTCCGCAGCCCCCCCTGCCTGGAGCGCCCCGGGGAGCGAGCTCACCTGAAGTGACCTTCGCATTTTGATTAACCGCCCTGTGGCTGAGACCCCTTAGCCCTTAAGACGAAATCTTTTGTTTGCTTTGACATTGCATACAACTCACCCATTTAAACTGCACGATTGAACCGTCCTCTAGTGCATTCACAGATTGGAACATCGGCCATCACCAGAGTCGATTTTAGGACATTTTCATCACTCCCAAAGCAACTCCTCTTTTAGCTCTCATCACCCCAACCGCCCCTTCCCGCCAGCCCTAGCAAGCACGGAGCTACTGTGTGTCTCTGTAGCGTTGCCTATTCTGCACATTTTGCACAAATGTAATCATCCAGTATTTGGTGTTAGCTTCTTTCACTTAGAATAATGGTTTCAAGGTTCACCCATGCTGTAGCATGTATTAGTTCATTTTCTTTTTAATTATAAAATAATCCATTGTATGAAGAAACCACATTTTGTTTATCCATCGGCAAATGTCAGGCCTTTCATCTTTGGTCCCAGGGCTGAGTCCAGAGCCACACACACGTATTAGCTGCTCTGAATGGCCGTGTCTGGGTGACTGACACAGCTTGCTGGCTTTCATCCCTCTCTCTCTTTGTATTGGGTATGTGATTGTGCTATTGTTGTGCTGAATTGAGTTGAATTGGATAACAGACAGGATCAGGCACCCCAGAGACTGTGGCACACCCCAGTGACTCTGGACTGAGCTAGTAAAGATAGGGAAGGAGACTTAAGAATAGTTCACGGAAAGCAAAAAAGAATAGTTCATGGAAATGAAGGTAACCTTCTAGCTGAATGCCAGGGCCACGTAAGCTAAAACAGAGAATGCTAAGCTGCATTCCTTGAACTCCCAAATAGAAAGGTGACATTGCCATCTGAGTAATGTTTTCAAGGTTCACCCATGTTGTAGCAGGTACCGGTGTCCACAGAGCCGGTCAGAACACAAGCAATCTGTGGTTTTGAGGGTGGAATCAATAATGAGGGTGTGTGTGTGTGTCCCAGTTGGAGAAGCACTGGGAGATTACAGCAGGATGGTTATCTTGGAAAAGAAACTACTGAATGGCTGGGGCAATTGACTTTGAATAACGAAAGCCTGGACTTGGGGGGTCGGTCACCAGAGACTTTAGCCCCAAAGGGCAGAGGTCAGACTAATATGTGGAACTTTTCGGAGCAGATTTTAGCCCAGCACCAAAAGGACTTTCTGACAGCTCGGGCTGCCAAGGATGTGTGAGAGATTTCTCTCATACTGGATGGGAGAAGGTGGCTTCCAGCTTTGATATTCTGGTTTTGAAAGACTGCCTGCTTTGGACTGTTTTTCTGTTCATTCAGTTAACACCTTTTACTGAGAGCCTACTGGAAGGCAAGCCACACTCCCTGAGGTGTTTTTATAACTTTCTAATCCATGAAAGGCTACGTACGGGATGACTAACCAGAACTCAGTTCCGAGCTGGGAAAGAGCTAAATAAACTTCACCTGATCTTTTGTTTGATTTAAAAGAAAAAAAGATACATCTTCTTCCCCTGGATGTATGCAGAGCTAACTGAATCAAGGAACTCCACAAAGCTCTCCCAGGCTCACTTTGCCATAATATTTATGAAATTGTGGGATTTTTCTCATCACATATGAAAGTAAACATAAAACCATTACAATAAAAAGACATCGGTCCATATACTGCTTAAAATAATTTTATGTTTGTCCACACTTTGGGGAACGTTGTCAGGAGTGATGGGGGTTAAGGAGGCTGGTAGGGGTTTTAGGCAGGAACGTAAAATGCTGAGGGTTGCATGTGGAAAGATTCACTGACTGTTGAGTGAAGAAGAGCTTGGAAGACAGGAAACTCTTGGAGTTGTCCCTGTGAGCTAAGATACGAGCCTTCACCAAGGTTCTTACAATGGAAATAGGAGGGGACAGACCTGAGGGGCATTTAGGTGTAGAATTTGGTAGGATTTAGAGACTGGTGACATAGGAGTGGAGGGAGAAGGAGGAGTCTGGCTCTGGGATGGCTTTGGTTTGGTTGCCTAGGAAGATGGTGATGTTTTCACAGAGGCAGGGAGCCCAGGTGGAGGGGTCAAGTCCAGGGAGTAGGATGTGCCAAGTGAGCATTCCCGTGGCCACGGGGTTTGACTGCAGTTTTAGCAACGAGGTCGCGAGGTCCATTGCCCCTTCAGGCACAGCAAACCCACACTTCAGATTAAATTGAGACATTTTTAGTTTCACTCTTCTGAGTGGACCCACACATGCCTTCTCTGCCAGTTATTACTGAGAAGGACTAAGAATTATAATTGAGCTGAAAATAGCCTCCCGCCCATACTTGCTGGGTTGGTTTCTAAGTATTGCTTGAGTTTTTAAGTAATGCAACTAAGTTGTGCTCTTTCCAAATGTTAATTTTGAGGACTGCAGCTGGTGACCATCTGTTGCACCACTAGCATTTTACAATATTTGATTAGCACTTTATATAGTTCGGGGAAGCCTGCCAGTGGACTCTGCCCATCAGTGTGGGGGCTCCAGTGGCATGTCCTCTCCGGTGGTACTTGAAGGTCTTTGCCCCCATTGTGTGGGGTTCCCCTCAGCGTGTTGGACGGAAGTGTGGCTAGTGAGACTGGGAGGCTGATATTGGGGGCGTGAGGACCTTGGGGAACCCCGCCCTGTTTGCACTCTTCCTCAGAGCTGGAACCATCACAGCTCATCATGGAAGTAGAATCTGCCAGATGAAGATTTTTTCGATCCATTTCAACGCTTTTGGCTGCAAGTGACAAAACAAACTCAAGCTGCTTTGGCAAAAGGGATTGATTGACTTGGATGATCGCAGAGTCTAGGGGTGGGACTGCCTTCCGGTGAATGGTTTTAGGGCTCAGATGAATTCTTCAGACTTGGTTTTACTCAGGTTCTCAGCTCTGCCCTCTGGCTTCAGCCTCTGGCTTCAAGAGGAGGCAAGATGGCTTCCCTGAGAGAGGGTGCGTCCTCTCATCATCAGGTCTAGTCACTCCTGTAGACGTGTTGAGGTTCACTCAGCTTACTTCAGGTGCCCAGCTGTGACCCAACCCCTGCTACCACGTGGATGCAGGCCTCTGATTGGTCAGACTTGGAGTGGAGCTCCACCCAGGCCTTATGGGCCGAGACCTGGCCTCCTGGGGTCACCAGCCGCACATCTGGGGCTGTTACCAGACGGGTGGTGGGGGCAGACAACCACCTACCGACCCCAGTGTCAGAGCAAGAGCCCTGAGCACTGAGAGCCAATGGGAAACTGGGCTGTGGAGATAGACCTTCATTGTCGCCAGGAAGAGATGCTGGAAGTGGAATGAAGGAGCCTCTGAAACCAGCCACTTAATGAGCTTCTTTTCTCCGTTTCAGGACCTCTGATAGATTTAAAACCAAGGCCAGTCGCTTAATCTTGGTCTTTTAGCTCCTTCATTTGGAGCATAGTGAGCTCCTCTGTCACAGAGGGGAAATCTGGACAGAGGAGATAACAGATTCCATTCAGTCCAGTTCAGTAAACAGGGCACGAAGCACTGGGGCCTGGGCCAGGCTGCCCAGGCCTGGCAGCGCATGAATCCTGGCAATGTGGGAAGCACTGTACCAGCTCCATAAACAGGGTACTGCCCGCCCCTCAGTCCCCCACCCCCGCCGGAGGGACAGTCAGGAAGGGCTTCCCAGAAGAAGTGACATTGAGCTGGGCCCGACAGGATAAACATGAGTTCCTCACACGGAGAGGGGCAGGGAGCTCCACGCTCAGGCAGCTGCATGTGCAAAGGCCACGAGGTGACCCCGTTGTGGGTTTGGGGGGCCTGGGAGAAGGTCCTGTGGCTGAGTGAGGAGGAGACGGGGCCATGACAGGCGGAGGCAGGAGCACAGGCCAGATGCTGAGGCAGAGGTCCAGGCAGGAGCCTACAGGGCAGCGAGCATAGAGGAGGGTGCTGTTATGGGCTGGGAGGTCCTTAATGGAAGCTTAACAAATCCTTATGTTCTAGACTAGGGGTGTCGAACTCAATCAGAGAAGGGGCCAAAATCTAAAATCCAGCCTAAATCGCGGGCCGAATGGTTTACTGAACAGTCATAAACTGTCATTGTGATGGAAACGCAGCGGAGTGCAGTGATGACAGCGCGGTTCGGGCCACATTGCAAGGCCTGGCGGGACGGATTTGGCCCGCGGGCCTTGGGTTTGACACATGTGTTCTAGACTCTGTCATTGGGGGTGAGGGTGTGTGTGGTGGAATCTGTGCTCTTTGTGAGTTTCCTGCTTCAGAAAGTAAGAGGCCAGATTAGAGTTACAGGTTCTTGGGAGAGAGACATGATTATACAGAGCTTAAAAATATGGGTCCTGCAGACACAAAGGAGTACATGACGGATGATTCCTTTTATGTAAAACTCAGGAAAATGCAAGCTAATCTGTAGTGACAGAAAGCAGAGGTCGCTTTGGGATGGGGGCGTGGCGAGGGCAGGAGGGAGGGATTACAGAGAGGCCCCAGGAAACCTGTGAGGCTGATGGAGATGTTCACGCTTTTGCTTTTGATGATGGTGTCTTAGGTGTATACTCACACATATGTCACAACTTATCAAAGTGTGCACTTTAAGTATGTTGATTGTATGTTAATTACATATCAATGAAGCTTTAAAGGTTTAATAAAAAGAGGAGGTGGGCTCTGGAGCCTGTCTGGGTTCAAATCCCAGCTCTATCCTATCAGACCTCTCTGTGCTGATTCTTCCTTTCTTTTCTTTTCTTTTCTTTTCTTTTCTTTTCTTTTCTTTTCTTTTCTTTTCTTTTCTTTCTTTCTTTCTTTGGTGCTTGATTTTAAAAAAATTCTTGCATTAATCACATGTAAAGCAAATAGGACAGAATAAGAGCTCATTATTATTTTATTTATTTATTAATCCTCACCTGAGGATATGTTTATTGATGAGAGAGAGAGAGAGAGAGAGAGAGAGAGAGAGAGAGAGAGAGAGAGAGAGAGAGAGAGAAAGAGTAACATTGACCAGTTGCTTTTCATATGTGCCCTGACCGGGAATTGAACCTGCCACCTTTTGGTGTATGGGACAACCCTCCAACCAAGTGAGCCACCCTGCCAGGGCAGGAGCTCATTATTATCCTATTCCTAACACACAGTAAAGTGAAAACACGTGTATCATGACAACTTTTTATGTAGCTGCTTCTTGTTTCTCAAACTTGAACTGCATGTGAATCTCCTGGACATCTTGTTACAATGCAGGTTCTGCCTAGTAGGTCTGGGGTGGGGCCCGAGACTGCATTTCTAACAAGCTCTCAGGTGATGTCGATGCTTCTGGCTACCCTTTGAGTAGCAACACTCAAACCTTTCATCCTGCCCTCTGTTGCTTGAGGTTAGACGATTTCTCAGCAATTGTAATGTGCAATTTTCCTCCTTGTCTCTCCTACTCTGCCTGTCAGCGGCACCTCCTTACCTTCAACCTGAGGCTGGTGTTCAGAAAGTAGATGAACATCTCACTTTTGTTCCTTGCGGCCTGCTCTGGGCTGAGACTCCTGCAAGACCGAATGCACAGCCGGAGCTCAGGGTCTGGGTTCGGAGGGGAGCGGTATTGGGGCGACCTGGCCTCTGTGCTGTTATCCAGCCTCCTTCACAGGGCGCTGGGACCTGAGGGCCAGGGCTGGCTATTGGCCTGATGCCTTAGACGTGATGCTCTGTGTTTTCCAGGGACAGACGGCCTCGCCGATGGCCCCGCTCCCGGGGGCAGAACTGGTCCACACGCCCCTGCAGCTCTACCGGTACCTGCTGCGCTGTTGCCGACAGCTGCCCACCAAGGGCATGCAGGAGCATTACAGACACGCTGTCAGGCAGGTGGGAGCAGGGTATGCTGGGCCTGGGGGTGGGGGAGGTTCCTCTAATAGAGGGCCTATCCGAGGGGCAGGGGGCGGGGGCAGGAACAGGGGCAGAGATGGTCTCTCTCAGGCGATGGGGGGACGGGAGGTTGCAGTTTAGTAAGAGCCATTGGGTATCTATGCTGGGCAGCCCAGACCTTCTCTTTGGTTTTTGTTGAGGAAACAGAGGATGGATGTGCCATCCAGCCCCCCAGCTCTGTGCCAGGCCTTGAAATAGACAGCCACATGGATAATTAAAACAGTGTGGGACACATCCTCACTGTGACAGATGTCTCTGTCGACAAAGCACGCCTGGCTTTAACCATGAGAAAACACCAGGAAAGCCCACACCGAGGGGCCGTCTACCACACAACTGGCCTGTTCTTGTCAAACACATCAACGGCGTGAAACACAGAGGAAGGACCAGAGCTGCTCTGGTTTAAAGGGGAATGAACAGGTGTCAATGCTAAATGCAATGCTTGATTCCAGGCAGGATCCTGGGCCAGAGAAACAGTTCTTATAAAGGACATTGTTGGGGGAAATCCATGAAGTTGGAATTTGGGCTGAGAATTAGATAGACAAACTAGCACTGTGTCAATATTAAGATTTTCTGCCGAAACCGGTTTGGCTCAGTGGTAGAGCGTCGGTCTGCAGACTGAAAGGTCCCAGGTTCGATTCCGGTCAAGGGCATGTACATTGGTTGCGGGCATATCCCCGGTGTGGGGTGTGTAGGAGGCGGCTGGTCGATGTTTCTCTCTCATCGACGTTTCTGACTCTCTATCTCTCTCCCTTCCTCTCTGTAAAAAATCAATAAAATATATTTTTAAAAAAATATTAAGATTTTCTGAATTTGATTACTGTTGTTATTAAGAGAATGCCCTTGTTGTTAGGAAACACCCCCCCCCCCCATGTGTGTAGGGGTTAAGGGCTTGTCTGCAACTTTTAAGTGCTTCCAAAAGTTTAATGCAAACACACGAAGAGAGAACAGTAAAGCAACTGTGGCAAAATGGTAATGCCTGGTGATTCTGAAGGCAATTCTTCTGTAGTATTCTTGCAGCTTTTCTATAGGTTAGAAATGATTTCCAAATAATAAGTTAAAAACTAAAATTAATACAAATATGATGTGGAAACTGGAACGATAGAGGAAGCAGCAGAGGGCTGTGGAAACATGGAGAAGGGGACAGTTTGTTGTCTGAGGGAGACAAGGAGGACTTCCCAGAGGTGAGCACTCGAGATGCTCCTAAAGACAAGGAGGGTGTGGGGTCGAGAGGAACAGGGCAGAGGAGGTGCCAGTGCCCGAGTGTCCGGAATGAACCTGAATCTCACGGTGTTCCTCAAGGGTGACCATCTGGACAGAAACAAACAGCAGCCTGGGCTCTGCACTGGGCTTGGTGGGGTGTCCCTCACCACCCTGCCCACGGCCCCTTCCCTCTCTGCTTGGCTCTGCAGCATGGGCCGGAGAAGCCCTGTTCTTCCCAGTTGGGAAGCCATGCAGAGTCACCCCTAGTGAAAGCAGCTTCCCGGGAGGACAGTGATGGGAATTCCCCATAGGCCCTCCATCACCCTTCCCCCCACCTGATACCTTTGGGTCCAGCTTGATTTGGGTGGTAACTTAGGGACCAGTCTTCCATTTCACAACTGCCCTGCTGGCAAGAGTATGTACTATGCAGTTGAATAGACCAGAATTCCCATGCTGAGACAATTGCTTAGCAGCAGGTTTCCTCATCTCTCTGTGGAATCATAACTTTTTATGGAGAGAAAGAGAGATGCTGAGAATAAAGGGCCCATAGTGTGCCTGGCCTGTGACTGGTGCCCTGAAGCTGCTGGTCCTGTGACTTTTGCCATTTTTTTTTTTTAATGCTTAAACTTCCAGAGTTTCCGGGTTCATTCAGATGAAGACAATCCTGAGAGAATTCAGCAGATTATTAAAAGAGCCATTGAGGATGCTGACTGGATCATGAACAAAGTAAGTGCTTGGCTCCTATCTATACTGTGAGCTGTAATCTCGATGGCCAGCAGGGGTCGCTGCTGCTCCACATTGAGAACAGTCGCTGCTCCCTACCTCTAGGAGCCAAAAGGTGATGGCAGATGCCCTTCTGATTGTATTTGTGAGCTTGTTGTGTTTGAGGGACAGGGGGACACCCTCAATCGCTAAAGACAAATTTCTTTTTTTTGTTAATTCTCACCTGAGGATATTTTCCCCCTTGATTTTTACAGAGGGGGAGAGAGGGAGAAAGGGGAAGGAGGGAGGAAGGGAGGGAGGGAGGGAGGGAAAGAAAGAGAGAGAGAGGGAGAGAGAGAGAGAAAGGGAAAGAGAAAGGGAAAGAGAAAGAGAAAGAGAAAGAGAAAGAGAAAGAGAAAGAGAAAGAGAGAAAGAGAAAGAGAAAGAGAAAGAGAGAGAGATGGGGCAGCAGGAAGAAGGAAGAGAACAGTCTTACTGGAAGCAATATGACAAAGCTGACAAAGTGTTGCGAAGAGAAGAGAGCTGTCTTGGGGGTGGGCAGTGAGCTCTCTGTCTCTGCAGGGATGCCCACTGGGCAGGGTTATTGAGGAAACATCCAAGTGTCTGTTTTGGTGGAGAAAGAGAGTCAGTAACATAGACTGGCTTGCTGGTCCTTACACTTCGGTGTTAGAAAACCTAGAGAACTAAAACATGCCCTACTTCTCTGTCTGCCTAAATCAGAATCTCCAGTTACTGGGCCCAGGATTCATTTTCTTACACTCAGTGATTGGATTAGGTGGCTTTTGAGGATCCGCCTCTACCTGAGATTTTTCCTCCCTCCAAACAAGACTCATCTTAAAGAGAACGATGGACATGCCTCTGTCTTTCACTCTGGTTCCCCAGTGTCTTTCTTTTCCTTCCTCCCAATCCCATCAACTCCCTTTCCACTAAAGAAGAAAGGGGGATCCAGGCACCAACTAGATTCAAGCGCCTGGGTCCCAGCACTTCAAGAAGTCCCTGCGGGCGGCCTCTGAGGCCTCCTGACCACAGTCTCAGCATTTCCCCGGCCCTCCCTCTCGCATTGGCTTTCCTCACCCCCTTCTGATGACCTCTCTGTCTTGCAGTATAAAAAGCAGAACTGAGACTCAGAGTGAAGCCGCCCTGAAGACCCTGAAGACGAGAGGTCTCCTGGAAGGAACCAGCAGCAGGAGTTCTGGACTCTCCGCAGGCGTGGGAGCAGCTGGCATTTGCTCAAATGGCTCTTCTCAGGCCGTTTGTGTCCCCAGTGACCTTTACATTTGCTTTTCCAGGCGATTATGATGGGAGATTTGGGGAGAATGTGTTTTGTCACTTTGCTCTGAAAGTGATTCATTTATCCTGGATGTCATTCTTTGAGATCCGAGTGGGCGTCCCCTCAGAGGGCGGCCTGTATGGAGGGCAGGGCATGGGTGTCAGCGCCTGACAGATCTGGATTTGAATCCCAGCTCAGCGGCTTTTCAAGGGCGTTGACTTTGAGCTTGGTTTCCTCTCTTGTGAGAACTGAATAAGATGAAATCACAGAGCCTAACACAGGACGTGGTACATGGCGGTGCCAGTAGATGACCCTCTGAGGAAGCTGCCTCCCCGCTCCCTCCTCTGCTCCCACAGGGCTCCACGGATCTCTAGCCCACAGCACCTTGGCCGGTTTGCTTGTCCTGTCCCTGCTTGTCGCCACTGTCCCCTTCCCCCAGACCCCTGAGCCTTCACAGTTGCACTGAGCCCAACAGTATGCCAAGCACTGCGCTTCCCGCCCCGAGAAGCAGATGCCCTGGTCTTTGGAGTTTACAGAGTCCCGGGGTCCTGGTGGTGAAAGACAGCCTGCATGGAACAAGAAGGAATGCCAAGCACCTCCAGTAGTGCCCACGTGTTTAGGCTTCTGTGAACCTGTCATCTGTCTTGACTGTCCCCTCCCTCCTTTGCCACCATCTCAGAAGGAGGGGAGGAGGGAAGCCGACAAGCAGTCATGTGGATTTTCATGAGCCTGAAATTGGTGGAGAAAGACAGACCCAGATCATCATCCCAGTTCTGCTCAAATTGTGTTTGGATAACTTACTTCTCCTCTTTCAGCCTCACTTTCCCCATCTGTCCAATGGGGTAATGGCCGTACGTACCTTGAGAGCTGTGGTGAGGAATAATGAGGTCTAATGCATGTCAAGTGCCTACCCAGAGCCTGGCATGGGGAGCTGGCTGCATGGCCAGCCCGTAGTTACGAGCTACAACTATTAGGGAGCCCTGCTTTGCAAGTGGGAGATGGAAGCTCAGAGAGGTTGAGCCTCTTTTCAGGGTCACAAAGCCGCTAAGCCAGGTCTGTCTGAATCTACCAAACAGCACAGATTTGGGAGGGAAAGGACAGCATCAGAGAAAGAGGGAAGGAAGGAGAACGGGAGGGAGTGAGGAAGGAGGGATAAGGAAGGAGGAGAGCAACAGGGAAGGATCAGGGGAACTGGCCAGAGCAAGTGTAACAACCAGAAGCCACACTAGGTACCCCCGAGGACTCAGCCAGAGGGGTGAGCTAGCATGTGTTTATGTCCTGGCAATCATATGGCTTAAAGTGACTGAGCTACATCTATGTGCATTCAACTGATCAGCAGACAATGAAGTAAATACATCAAACTGTGAAAACTTGGTGTCTTCTTGCCACTTGTTGTTCCTTATTGTGTGCTAACTTTCATACTAGATGTTGTAGATAAAAAGGGGTCACATGCTAATCTGACAAGCTCAGAGAAGGCCTGAATGGTGGTCTTACACACTCAAAGACATAAAGTAACCACAAAGGATGGTCTGAAATTAAAACTTTAACTGCCCTTGCCAGTTTGGCTCAGCGGATAGAGCATCAGCCTGTGGACCACAGGGTTCCAGGTTCGATTCTGGTCAAGGACACATACCAGGCTTCTCCCCAGCCTGAGACATGGTTGGGTGTGTGTAGGAGGCAACCATTCAATGTATTACTCTCACATTGATGTTTCTCTGTCTTTCTCTCTTCCACTCTCCTAAAAAACTAATGGAAAAATATTCTCAGGAAGGGATTAACAACAACAACAAAAAATAAAAAGAAAAGAAAAAGAAAGAAAAAACCCTTTAACTAAAAGCAGTTACAGTGGGGAGTCATGTCCTAGGCTGGTATCTTCCCTGACAAAGGTCAGTCTTTACCTTAACTAAGACAGTCCGTTCTCTTGCATTTATGATAACATATCAGTGGAATGTCAGGGTAATTTGTAACTTCCCTTTTTCTGGACCCTTCAGGGCATAACCAATGGGTTAGAGTGCCAGGACTGGAGACCACAAATCCCTTTGTTGTCATTGTTACCTTGTTAATTGTTGAATGTTAACTATCCTGTACCCACCTGTGTAAAAGAAGCATGTGTCTATCATTTAACTTTTTATCTAATCCCTAGGTTTGCCCGCTTTGCTTTCTGCCACCTCCCTAAATCTATCACCAATGGATTTCATGTAACCACCTCCCTAATCTATCACCAATGATTTCATGTAACCCATTTAAGTCTTTTTCTTTGAGTATAATAAATAAAACAAGGTCAAAACCACCATTCTCTAGCATTATCCCAATATGTTGAGATTCGGCTTCCTGGCCATTGTCGACAGTTAGGCTCAAATAAACTTACAAAAATTCCTTATAAGTTTGAAAGTTTTTTTTAATGTTAAAATTACTTGACGTAGTTGGCAGGATTCCAAAGAATCTCACCCAGGACCATCCTGCAGACCTGTACCCGGTGCTAGGATCTAGCAAAGGTCCATTGAGCCTGCCAATTTTCCTCCCCCTTCCCCAATGGGTGAACTTGGGTGAATTGTCTCCTGGACCCGTGATCTTCCCTTGCTTTTGGTAGAGGGCCTGATTTTATTTGTGCTGTATTTTTAAATCCTTAAGGTGGAACTAAGGTTAAGGGTTGACTGAACTCAGGCTAAGGCGAGAGTGGAGGAAAACAATGGGTGGCTGGTTTTGATTTTGGCTTTTTAATTGGATTTGCTTTCTGAGTCTGAGAAAAAAAACAACCTTTGCCATATAAATGAGAGCTGAACTCATTCAGCTCCAAAGTTAAAGGGGCACATCCTCCCTTCAGCCCGGTTCTCAGGTGTTCTTAGGTGACTAAGAATCTTTGTGGAGGTGTCTGTCAGAGGTCATTCTTCATGACGTGCAGGAGCTCATTAGGGAAGTCCTAACTCAATTGTAATTAATTAATTGGCTCATCCAGGAGGCCCAATGAGGCTTGAACTGCCAGGGCCCCCAACCCCTTCCTGGTGTTTTAGACAGCTGGGAGAGAAACCGAGGCACGTAAAAGGGTTGAATTGTAATTCGAGGGTGAGAGCCTCATAGAGTTCAACCCATAAGCAGCACCCTTCGACCCTCCCCATAACATCCCTAGAAAATTTGCTCTACAGAGACCCAAAAATAAACATTTAAAAAAATGTAACATGGGGAATTTGCTTCCAAGTCCAGAAACTCCCAAACCCCAGCCCTCATTTATTAGTCCTGATAGGAAGTCTTTACATGCAAGTGCTTTACAGAAATGGGAAGATTTCATTAGAAAATATCATCATAAAAATGGCCAAAATGCAGTTGTCTTTGGGTACCTAAATTAATATTTTGCATGCAAAAAATTCGAAAAATGCCAGCTCTAAAATTAAACCGAATGACTATATGGGAAGCATATCTTGATTTGGCAATTAGAAGCTTCTAAGGAGAAGCATAGAAAAATTATTCAAAAAGTGGAAATTAATAAGAAATTTTAGAGACTATCCTGAACGATCCTGAAGCTAATAAATGCCTACACCCCATTTCCCCCTCTTCCTTTCTGAGCTTCCTTGTCTGAACTTGCTCTTTCCTCTCTCTTCCTTCCGTCTTCTCTACTGCCACTGACTTGAAGGAAAATGAGAATAGGATTTCTAGAGAGGAACTGGCAACTGTTCCTGACTTTATCTGGGACCCTGATGGATTAACAAAAATTTATCTGTAATCCTGCCTATTCTGACCAATTCCAATTAATACCCTTACTCGTTTCCAAGAACAAGGCAACAGAATTACTAAATAAGGTCTACGGTGAAACCATAGAGGAATCTTTTGCTGTAAAAAGCCAGGTCACCATAAGAAAGACTGTAGGAAAAACCCCCAAACTGAAGTGTGATTTACAAAGAGAAAACAGAAGCAAACATAGGACTATGAGGGTATTTTCTCCTCTTTACTAATACTTTAGGAGAAATTGAGATTATCATAAAAGGGGAAGTTACTAAGGCCCTTGTAGATACTGGGGCTACCTTATCGGTTCTTAACCCTGCCCATCTAAGTTTCCCTCTTCCTTGGAGTAAAGTTTCTGTACAAATGGTAGGGGTATCTAACCAACCAAAGACTTTTTACAATTAGAACCTGTCCCCTTTCAACTAGGGCATGATAAGGGGGCAACTTATTTTACTGGTCAAATTGGCCCCAATTCACCCAGGTGAAAATAAAATTGCAGAACCTGAACTAGAGGCTTCTCCAGGCTTCTAGTGGAATCTGCTACAGATGGGGAACCCACTGTCAGAGACAGAGGCATAGGTGGGGGCTTTGCTGGCTTGGGGTGAGGTTGGGGGTGCAGGGGGATTCTAGGCAGCAGGCAGTTTCAGCAAAGGCAGGAAGCAGCACCATTTGCTCAGGATTGCCCATCTGTTCAGTGTGGTTGAGATACCACAGACCAAAGAGAGAGTGCTGGAATCAGCTCTTTATGTAATTGCCTCCTCGCCAGAGAGTGAACCCCCTAAGGATAGGGACCATGCACTGAATCCTCTGGGCCAGCTGTGTCTGCTTCTCAGGATACCAGCTCTAAGCTTCTGCTGAATGAGTAATAATTCCAAGCCGGTTTGGCTGCGTAGATAGAGCGTTGGTCATGGGTTGGTTCAGGTCAAGGGCACATATCTTGATTGCAAGCCCTAGTTGGGGCACATGCGAGAGGCAACCAATTGATGTGTCTCTCTCACATTGATGTTTGTCTGTCTCTCCCTCTCCCACTCTCTCTAAAAATCAATGGAAAAATATATGTGGATGAGGATTAACAAAACAAAAAAGAAGAAGAAAGAGTGATAACAGCAGGCAAACTGATGTCTCTCTTTTGTTGGAGTTTTTATTGCTTTCCAATAATGGAGGAGGTTGGGAGGTGGTGATTATTTCTTGGCAAAATACAGGTTGTGTGTGGGGGATCCTCTTCTTATCGCTACACGCAGGAGCTGATTTGGAGGTGAGAACTCGCGCTGTCACTGCATGATGGGCTGCACAGGTGCCTCCCACACACTTCCTTCAGGAATCCCCCCAAAAGCAAAGGTTACCAAGAGCTGCAACCCAAACTTCTTTCCCACTTCCCCAAATGAACCGGCCCCTCTGTTCATCCTGCTCCTCTAGAGGGCGGGGCTTACTGAGCATCCAGAGCAAACAAAACCAACAGCCTTTGTTCAACGACAGGGACAAACCTGACACTTCTATGTAAGGGAGTAACCTTGTGAACAGTAGGACAGGTGATCGTAGTTCAAGCAAAAGAGCAGAAGCTCAAGGCATTGTATCATCTATCATCACAAGAAGGGCAAGTGTAGCACAATAATATATATAATTTATTTTTTATAGAGAGAAAAAGAGGAGGATAGAGAGTTAGAAACATTGGTGAGAGAGAAACATCAATCAGCCGCCTCCTACACACTCCTACTGGGGATGTGCCTGCAACCAAGGTATATGCCCTTGACCAGAATCAAACCTGGGACCTTTCAGTCTTCAGGCTGATGTTCTATCCACTGAGCCAAACCAGTTAGGGCCAATAAGATATTTTGAGAGAGAGACCACATTCACATAACTTATTACAGTGTATCGTTATAATTGTTCTATTTTTATTATCATTGTCAGTCTCTCAGTGTGCAGATTTATATACCAAACTTTATTACAGGTGTGTATGTAGAGGAAAAACCCCAGTATATCTAGGGTTCTGTGCTAGCTGCAGTTTCCAGCATCCAGTGGATCTTGGGACAAGTCCCCCACAGATAAGGACTGGGAGGGAGGACAATTGGTTCAAACCATTGTTGCTTTGAACCAATAATTTTGAGACAACCTTCACAAAGAACACCAAAGATGCTTGATAATTCTCTTCCAAAGTCCCAAACATGGAATACTACTCAGCAATCAAAAGAACTACCAATACATGGACAGCTTGGGCAAATCTCAAAGGCATGATGTGGAAAGAAAGACACATATGGTACATATATGTAACTACATAATGAAAGTTGCCTATGTTATGATTCAATTTACATGGCAGTCTCAAAAAGACACAGCTCTGTGGGGGAGGGTGTGACTATAAAGGGTAGCCTGGGGGAGCTTTTTGGGGAGAAGATGCTGTTCTGTATCCTGTTGTGGGAGTGGTTACATCTGCATGTGTTAAAACTCCTGGAACTGTACACTGTCCCGGAAGTGAATTTCATTAAATGCCCTCCCCCCCCCCCCTCATTAATAGGATTTTGGATCTTCGTTTCCTCTGTGGTCAAGGGAGGGTAGTCTCCTGACGTCCTCTCTGTCTTCAGGAACAAAACAAAGAAGGATGAAACGTGGCTACACTAGTAGACAGGGATTTTTGAAAATGCCATCTTTTTAGGTTTGT